AGGAGGGAAGGAAGGAAGGAAGGAAGGAAGGAAGGAAGGAAGGAAGGAAGGAGGGAAGGAAGGAAGGAGGGAGGGAAGGAAGGAAAGAAGAAGGGAAGGAAGGAAGAAGGGAAGGAAGGAAGGAGGGAAGGAAGGAAGGAAGGAAGGAAAGAGGGAAGGAAGGAAGGAGGGAAGGAAGGAAGGAAAGAGGGAAGGAAGGAAGGAAGGAAGGAGGGAAGGAAGGAAGGAAGGAAGGAGGGAAGGAAGGAAGAAGGGAAGGAAGGAAGGAAGAAGGGAAGGAAGGAAGGAGGGAAGGAGGGAGGAAGGGAAAGGGAAAGGGAAGGGAAGGGAAGGGAAGGAAGAAGAGATGGCTCTGCCACAGGGAGGATGAGATGGCAGTCAGGGGTCCCATAGAGTAGACTGGATCGCCCCCTCCCCCATCCCCAGGATGAGGAACAGCCCAACAAGGGACTGGGGCTCTTGGGGCCACTGAGGGTCTTTTCTGCTCCCCAGAATTGCATGTTCGACACGTGCAATTGTGAGAAGAGTGAGGACTGTCTGTGTGCGGCGCTGTCCTCCTACGTGCAAGCCTGTGCTGCCCAGGGAGTGCTGCTGAGGGGCTGGAGGGCCGGGGTCTGCAGTAAGTGAGGCATCTGTGTGGCCACTGAAGATTTGACAAACACTGTACAGATATCACCTCATGTGATCCTCATAACAACTCTGGGAATCAGGGGCTATGGTCACTCCCATTTTACAGATGGGAAAGCTGAGGCTGAGAGTTCACACAGCTAGTTAGTAAGTGTCAGACCAGAACTTGAACTTAGGTCCTCCTGAATCCTTTATGACCCCTGCAGCCTCACAACAGCTCACGTCTCCATTGAGTTTGGAGCTCTGCCCAGCACGTTCCTAATGGCAGCTCTGTGGTGGTGGTGGTGGTGGGGGCGTTTGAGGGAGTCCTAGTGGTTTCTTCATCACCCCCTTTTACAAATGAGGAGACTAGACTCAGAAAAGAGAAGTGGCTTGTCCTTGGAGTTTCAAGAATCCAGCCCCCTAATTTTACAGATGGGGGAACTGAGGTCCAGAAGAAGGATAAGCCTCAGTCAGATTCAAGTTCTGAGCCCTTCCAGTGACCAAGAACTGGGAAAAACTGGGAATCAGTGCAGGGGACAGGAGTGTGAGGAGGGTGGGGGGAAGGGGCAGATGCCCTGGGGGAGCCTGTGTGCCCCCCATTCACTTACACACATACTCACACTCAAGCACCACTCACACAATGCAATCAGATACACACCACTTTCACATACAGTCACACACTCACACACACACACACATGCCACTCACACACATACACAATCACACACTCAGATACAGACATACCACTCATGCAATACACACACTTACACACACTCAAACTCAAACACACACTATTCTTACACACATGCACATAGTCATGTATACTCACACATACACATTCACATATATTTGCATTCAGACACCACTCCCAGTCACACACATTCATACAGACACACCTCATATGTATTTGTACACACCCACATATACAGTTATACACACATACACTCACACACACAACTCATACACAGTATTACACTCAGATACACACATACATACAGTCATGCACACTCACAATATATTCTCTCACATTCAGACATATGCTACTCACACCAGTTACAGGACACCTCTGTACTCAGTGATGGGCCTGAGCAGGGATGAGAGCTTTTCATCTCAGGGTGTCCAGTGTCCAGAAAGAAGGGAGGGATGGAGAGAAGAAGGAAGGAAGGAAGGAAGGAAGGAAGGAAGGAAGGAAGGAAGGAAGGAAGGGAGGGAGGAGGAAGGGGATTTATTAAATGCTCACTATATGTCAGGCCCTTGCTCAGTGGCCTCCCTGGAGCTCAGGAAGGCCCTGCCTCGCACTCAGTGCCTAGGGAGGTGCCAGGCTTTCTGTCTGTGGCCTCAGAGGCACAGAATTGCTGCTGACATTTTGGTAACTCTCCGAGGTCTGTCAAACATTTAAAGCCACTCTCTCAGTTGGCCCTCCCCACAGTCCCAGGAGGAAGGGGCTACAGGTACCATTGTGCCCATCTTATAAACAAGGAAACTGAGGCTCAGAGAAAAGTAAAGGGATTTGGCCATGGTCACACAGAGAACCTGCCAGATCTAGAAGCAATGGCAGAGGAGCAAGGGACTTTCAGACCAAGCCTTGATGCCAGGACAAATGGCCTAACATAGAGAGCTTTCTGACAGTGAGAGGGGCGCTGCAGCTGGTAGTGAGTTCCCCATCCCACAGATCTTCCTCCAAAGGCTGGATGGGTCCTAACTGTATCTGTGCCAGAGTGTGGGGGTTCCCTGCCAGCTTGGGGACTTTGGGATTCTGTGACTGCCATGTCCCATCAAGGCCATGGTCCCAATCTCCTGAGAAACCCTCTGGTAGGTAGGGCAGAGAGCAGGGGCAGCTGGGCCTGAGGGCTGAGGCTGCTGGGGGCCCAGGACAGGCCAGCTTTAGAGAGAGTGGGGGAGTTAGGGGGCCTAGGTCACAATTCTGGCTTTGACATCTGCTTGCTGTGCGACCTTGGGCCAGTCCCTTCCCTTCTGGGTCCTCACAGAATTCTAACATGGAGAGCTAGAAAGGTTTGAAGCGGGCATCTGGCCCAACCCTGTGCCTTTACAGATGGAGAAACAGAGACCAACATGGCAGAGCTACTTACCCAGGTTTACAATAAGTTACAAAGCCAACACTCGAGCTCAGGTCCTCCCCTGAGTCCCCCTAGGGCCCGTTGGGCAGATGGGCCAGAGCTCTGAGGAGTTTCTTAGGCAGGGGAGGGGCCAGAGCCCCCAGGAGCTCCTTAGGCAGGGGAGGGGCCAGCCCCCCACACCCTCCCCCCCTGCTGGCCTCATGTTTCTCAGGTCCCTGTTTCTCCCCCTTCAGCCAAATACATGGACAGCTGCCCGAGCTCCCTGAGTTACAGCTACGTGGTGAAGTCATGCCAGCCAACCTGCCGCTCCCTAAGTGAGACTGACGTCACCTGCAGCATCCACTTCAGCCCCGTGGATGGCTGTGTCTGCCCCGACGGCACCTACCTCAATGACGCAGGCCAGTGTGTGCCTGCCACCCAGTGCCCCTGCTACTACAAGGGCACCATGGTGGCGCTGGGAGAGACCGTGCAGGAGAACAGCGTAGTGTGGTGAGAAGAAGGAGCAGGGCCCCGGACGTGCCCAGGGGGAGCACCAAGGGCAGAAGGGGGCCATGGTCAGTGACGTGGCCGGCAGCCCCCAGGGGCAGCTGGAGGGGGACTAGATCCCCATTTGACATGTGAGGGTACTGAGGCCCAGAGAAGGGAAGGAATTGGCCTGTGGTCATGCAGCTAGTAAGTGTAAGAGGGAGGATTTGAACCCAGGGCTCCTGACTCTCAGCTCAGGGCCTATCCATCCTCCCCATGGCTTCCTTGTAGCTTGAGCAGCCCAGTTGGTGAATGAGCCCCTCTGAAGGCAGCTTCCGAGGCAGCTTTCTGCTCTGTCCTGACTCAGGCCCCTCCTCAAAGAGCCCTTGGGGAGGGCCTGGAGACCGAGCTGGAGACAAGGCCATCTGAGCAGGGCTAGAGGGCCAACTGGCCACCAAGCAACAAGCATTTATGAAGCACCTACTGTGTACCAAGCCCTGTGTCAGGCGCCAGGGACACAAAACCCAACTCTGCCTTCCAAGACCTTGCGTTCTGATGGGGGGGACAACATGTCCATCGTGTGTAGACACCAAAAATGTCCAGATAATACAAGATCATGGTGGGGGTGGGGCAGGGCTGGCTTCTGGAGGGAGGCTTAGAAAACGTTTCCTGCAGAAAGTAGCACTTGGACAGTTTTGAAGAGAACAAAGGATTTTAAAGAGGCAGAGGGGGAAGTGGGAGCAGATTCCAGTCTAAGAGGGCAGCTGTGCACAATCTCGGATGTGAGAGATGACGTGTCTCATGTGAGGAAAAGCAAGATAGCTGTTAGCTGGACCACACCGTGCAGGAAGGGGGATGATGCAGAACAGGGTTGGGGAGATCAGCTAGACTTCAAAAGCTCAACGGGGCATGGTCTGTTTATCCTGGTGGTAATAGGGAGCCATGGGGCTTACTGAGGGAGGGGGGTGCTTTCAGAAGATCACTTTGGCGACCAAATGGAGGATGGAGGGCCTTGAGGCAGGGAGGCCAATTAGGAGGCCATTGCAAGAGTCCAGAAATGAAGTGACCTTGAGTATATGAGATACTATGAAGGTAGAAATGGCTTAGATTTGTCAATGGATTGGATGCATGGAGAGACATCCAATGGATGAGGAGCAGTGGGAGGGGGTCGGTTGCCCACCTTGTGAGCCAGAGGTGCCCGGCGTGGTCGGGTGAGCCTAGAGGATGGTGGTGCCCTCAGCAGCAATAGGAGAGTGAGGAAGAGAGGAGGGTCTGAGCACCACTCCAGACGGTTGAGTTTGAGGTGCGTACAGGACATCCAGTCAGATGCACAAGAGGTGCCTGGAGTCTCTGGAGTACTGCTGACATTTCCTTCTGCCCATAGTTCTTGCACCAGTGGGAAGCTGAGCTGCTTTGGAGTCATGGATCCAGACCCAGGTACCAGCCCTCCTTTCCCACTCCCACTCTCTGCTCTCTCCTGCTGACCAGAGCTGCCCCCGGGGGCTGTGGGGCAATGGCTAGGGTTTTCTGGGAGAAGATACCTAGCAGAAATATAAACCTTGGGTTGGCGCCCCTTCCTGGGCCTGAGGGCACTCCCCGCCTCCCGCACTCAGGCCGGGTCCAGCTGTGCCCCATGTCCAACCTGGGGTCAGGCAGCTGTGGGTGTGAAGGAACAAAGCCTCGAGGGCCCACCTCACCCCGTTCTCTTCCTCCTCAGTCTGCACGGCTCCCATGATTTACTTGGACTGCAGCAACACCTCAGCGGGAGCCCCGGGGGCCCAGTGCCAGAAAAGCTGTGATACCCTGGACGTGGCCTGTGTGAGTGAGGTGGCCTGCCCAGGCGGAATGCAGGCAGGAGGCCCATGTTCATCCATGGGGAGCCCTCAGAGCTGGCTCAGGGAGCTCAGAGACGTCACTGTGGGGTGTGACCAGACCATCACGGAGTCCCTCCCAATTCTGTGCCCAGGCATTTCTGAGGGTTAGCAGCCTGCGTCCATTCAGATTTGCCCCTACCAGTCAGCCACACACCTGCCAGCGGCTCCTGGAGGAGGCAAAGCTTAGGGCCTAGTGTTTGTCTTTACAAAAACCTGAGCTTGTGTGCCAAGGGGATGTGCCCGTGGTCAATGCCTGGGCAGCACTGTCTCTCACAAGCCTCTGCCCAGCAGGGAGTGGTCCACGGAGCGTGCCAGGCTCCCCTTGCTTGCTCCATACAGCCTTGGTTAGATGGGCCCTTGATGAGGGCAAGGCCACTCAGGTTACCAGGTTACCCATGAGATCTGTTCTGAAGCCAAATGAACTTAATAGATGAGGACTGAATCTCCTTCGGGGCCACAGCCCTACAGGATGGGTCAAACAGGGTCACACATGGTGTCTGACAAACGCTATCCCCAAGTGGTCCACTCACTGTCCTTTTTTGAATAGTACAACCCCCAGTGTGTGTCCGGCTGCATCTGTCCCAGCGGTCTGGTGAAGGACGGAAACATCTGTGTCAAGGAGGAGGACTGTCCTTGTGTTCACAATGAGGCCTCCTACAAATCAGGGGAAACCATCCAAGTGGACTGTAACAAGTGGTAGGTAGGCGTGGGCAGAATTGGACATGAGTGAGCTCTGAGGGCCTGAGGATCAGGGCAGTAGAGCAGGCAGGAAGGGACTGGGAGGTCGTCATGTCTGACCTTCACCTTACAGATGAGCTGAGGCCCAGAGAGGGTCACCCAGCTAGGGTCTGAGGCAGGATTGGAACCCAGGTCTCCCTGACCACAGAGAGACTCCATACAAGGTCCATCGCTCTGTGCTGCCCTCACCAGGAGGGAGAATCTGAGGCCTGGGTAGCTCAAGGTAGAGCAGAGAGGGAAGTCTGGTGACCAAGTTCTGGGAATACTACAGAGGGATGCTTGTTCAGGTATGGGTTGGACGCGATGCTCATAAGGTCCCTGCCAGCCTTGTGATGCTGAGCTTCGCTGGGGCCAAGGTCCTTGACTAAGAGCCAGATGCCATTGGAGAGGAGTCAAGAAGCCACCTCAGTAGGTGCGTGAGGGTGAGCTCTGGCTGTAAACACCCCCACCTCCCGGCTCACCTGGCCACCAGCCAACCCATCCCCCCACAACACCAACATCTGCAGAGCACTTTCCTCCCAACGAAGTCACCATTTTACAGATGAACAAACAGGTCCAGAACAGTTCAATGACTTCTCCTGGGTCATCCAGGTTGAACATGGTAGAGCCAGCCCTCCTGACTGAGCTCAGGGCTCTACTCCCTGTGCCCCAACAAGAATTCAGCATCCAGGGGGGAGAGGCAGGCTCAGCCTGGGGGAGCAGCCATAGGGATCAGAGAAGGGAAGGCAGGAACAGTGGCAGTCAGGGGAGGCCTCCTGGAGGAGGAGGCTGAGACGTGCTGGGCCCTGAAGAATGATGAGGGTGTGCTGGAGGGTCCTGCAAGCAGGCTCCAAGAACGAGCACCCTGGGGAATAAGCTGTTTTCTTCCAAACTCTTGCTTCTCAGCATCTGCAAGAACCGGAGGTGGGAGTGCACCCAAGTCCCATGCCTGGGCACGTGTGCAGTCTACGGAGACGGGCATTTCATCACCTTTGACAGCGAGCGCTACAGCTTTGAGGGGAATTGCGAGTACACCCTGGCCCAGGTCTGCTGCTCTGTTCCTGCTTTCCCCATCCGCGGCTGCCCAAGGGCAGTCCCCAGACTTTGTCACTTCTTCCTCTCTCTTCTCCCCCAGGACTACTGTGGAGGAGACACCACCACAAACGGGACCTTCCGTGTGATCACGGAGAACATCCCTTGTGGTACCACGGGCGTCACCTGCTCCAAAGCCATCAAAGTGTTTCTCAAGGTGAGTCGGGGAGCCGACTTCTATGGGAGCCCCGCCTTTCCGCCCGAGACAAGGGCTTTCTCCCCGCTCTGGTCCAGCGGGTGTCCCCTCTGGGGCCCCTCCAGGGAGGAAGCAGGCTGACCGTTCCAGCGTGGGCCAGTCCTGAGTCTGGGGAAAGCTTTGTTGGTCTTGGACAGTCCCGTGGGTTGCTGATCTCAGTGACTCGGGCTCCCTCCGATGACCATCCTACCACTCCATCCTGGGTAGCTCTTGTCTGTACCTCGACATCAGCCTGCCATCGGGTGTCTGCCCAGTGCTAGAGACCTTCCTTGCCTTCTTCCAGCCCAGATTTTCCTGGCTTTCAGCCTCATTTGGCCTGTTTGCACTGCCCCTGCCCCGAGTGTCCTTGGGGGCCAAACAGAGAAGGGCTGGTCCACCTTCCATGGATTACTAACCAAGGCAGTGACTGCTCAGATACCTTCAGATGGATTCTCCCCAGGCTTCTACCCAAGGAAAAAGTCTAAAATCCAACCACAAATAGCTGGGTTGGGGGATGGTCAGTGCTGCCCCACTCCCACAGAAGACCATGGGGAAGAATGAGCTCCTGGGACAGGAGAGCTGAAGGGAAAACCTACAGATGAGGCACTAACTCAGAGGCCCTCCGCCTTCCTCCTTTTCTAGGGAACTGAACTGATATTCAATGAGGGCATTGTGAAAATGGTGGAGAGAGGGCCAGGCAAGGACGTCCCGTACAAGATCCACTCCAGAGGCATCTACATGGTCCTGGAGACCCAAGCGGGGATGGTTCTGATGTGGGACCGGAAAACCAGCATCTTCATTAAGTTAGACCAGCACTATAAGGTCAGGCCCGGCCATGGCCGTCGATCAGGGGAGAGGGAGTTCTTGGAGGAAGGGGCCACCTCAGTCCCCCCGGGGCTGCCTCTTACACATCTTTGGTGTCCTGGTGCGTGGGAAGGACCTGACTGCCTCCAGCCAGCTATGTGGCCATAGGAAAGCCCCTCCCTCTCTCTGGGCCTCCGTTTCCCCAGCTGTAAAGGCTCCCACTGTATACTTCATGGACCTATGATGAGGAAGGCACGAGGGAAACATGAGTCCTGCTCTCTGAGCTTGGGACTTCTCTTGCCTTGAATGGGGGTAGCAGTATTTATACGATCTGCCCTCTCCGCCCACCAAGGGTCACACCTTAGAAAGTCTCTGTCCTCCCAGACTTCCAAGGTTGGCAGTTTCCCGGGTGGATGGAGGTCCCAAGCCCCCACCCGAGGTGGCGGATAGTCAGCCTGGAGCTGAGTGAGGCAGATGTGTCTGACTCCAGGCCGGGCCCCTGCCTCCTGGTGGAGCCCTGCACTCTGTCCACAGAGCCTAGGAGAGCATCGTCCTCTGCAGAGGCCTCCTTTAGCGGTGGAATGCACCCATCTGGGATGGCGGTTCTACAGCATCACTGCTGACTGCAGAGTGCGATTCTCGGTCCGGGAGATCCTGTGAAGGGCCCTCAGCTCCAGAGCGAGGCAGCAGCCCCCACGGGGATCCTGAGCCTGCTCTCTGGGTTTCTGTGTGCAGGGGAAGGTCTGCGGTCTCTGCGGGAATTATGACGGTAACAGCATGAACGACTTCACCACCAGGAGCCTCTCGGTGGTGGGCGATGTGCAGGAATTCGGGAACAGCTGGAAGAGCTCCCCCTCCTGCCCGGACGCCGTCCCCACCAGGGACCCCTGCACTGCCAACCCTTACCGCAAGGCCTGGGCCCAGAAGCAGTGCAGCATTATCAATAGCGCCGTCTTCGCCGCCTGTCGTTCCCAGGTACTTCAGGGTATGCCAGGGGTCATTCCTCCAAGGCAGGTGTGCCAGGTGCTAAGCCCCACATAGGATACGTGCCAGGCCTGGCTCTGCAGCTGCATGTATACACTTCTGGCTGTGTGAAGCCACACCTGGAGCCCAAGGGGAAGGGGCTTACTTGCTGCCTTCCTGCTGAAGCACCCTGGCCAGCCCACACTCTCTTCCTCCGGCTTTTCTGTTCCCAGGAGGAGAGTTGGTGAGCCTTGCCACTTTAGACAACATTAGCTGCCTACGGGGTGCCAGGCACTGTGCTAGGGATGCAAAGATAAAAATTACTCACTCCTGCCCTCCGGGGGTTCAGATTCTCCTGGGGGACGTGACTTAGCCCCAAGAACAGTACAAGGAAAGATGAGCAGAGAAAGAACGCTGGCTCGGTAGGGGTCAGGGAAGGCTTTGGGGAAGAGGGACCCCCTGCCCGCAGCTGAGGCTGGAGAGAAGACAAAGCTTACCTGATTATCAGCCATCCCTGTTTGGTTGGCCTGGCAGCCCCGAGAAGAGTCTACTATGCGCCAGGCCCCCAGCATGACCGAGCCCTTTTCCTTTCCCTGAGCACCCAGCCCAGGCACAGTGGGGCCGCCCTCTTGGGCCGTGGCAGATGAACCGGTTTGGATGGCTTGTGCTGGACATAGGAGCATCAGCCTGCCTTTGTAGCCAAAGCAGCACACCTCTCTTAAGTGCCTGCTGTATATACGGCCCAGGCTGCAGCCTGGAAGGGGGTGGCCTTTAGATAAGACAATCACAACCAGACAGTGATGGCGAGGGCTGGCCAGGGAGGGCCGAGGTCCCAGAACCTAAGCCAGGCCAACCACCCAGTGTCTGGGAGCCGCTACCATAGGCAGAGCCCTGGGCTGTGACCTGGGGTCAGAGAGACAGAATATGGTCCAGTCTCTGCCCATCAGGAGCTTCTGCCTTCCAGAACAAAGGGCGGAGCGACGGGCAGAGAGTCAAAGGCCGGAGTGGGGCTCGGACCCTAAGCTCCTCTTCCCTTCCAGGTGGACTCCACCAAATACTACGAGGCCTGTGTGTTGGACGCTTGTGCCTGTGACTCTGGGGGAGACTGTGAGTGCTTCTGTACGGCGGTGGCAGCCTATGCCCAAGCCTGCAATGATGTGGGCGTTTGCGTCTCCTGGAGAAAGCCAGACATTTGTCGTGAGTTGATGGCTCATCTGTCAGCGTCTGCTTCCTGACACACTGGGTGGGGAGGGGCTGGGGAAAGCATGCACAGCCTGGAATGCTCTGACATGGATAAGCAGCATGCGTACAACCCACATGTATGTGCACACCCCAGGCACTTGGAAAGCTGGGCGCCCTCATTCTATCAGACGAATCTGTGGAGTCTGGTTGTGTGCCAGGCACAGGACAGACAGAAGCAGAGACAGAGGAGCTCTCAGCTGGGAGTGGGTGGGCCACACACACAGCCAACTGCTATAAAGGATATTGCAGATGTGACAAGGGTGGAATCCAGGCAAAGGTCCGGGCAGTGGCCGGGCAAGGCTTCCCATGGGCAGGGAGTGTCTGGAATTGGGCTTTGAAGAATGAATAGCAGTCCCCCAAGTGAAGCAGGGAAGTGAGGTGTTACAGGCATAGGGTCCTGCCTGAGCAAGAACATGGAAGTGGGAGAGGAGGGGCTGGATAGAACAGTTATGGGATAGAAGTCCTTGCCTTCTGGGAATTCAGGAGAATGGCTGTTGAGGGACTAGTCTTGCTAGACAGCCTTCTGCTCTCTTGGTGTTGGGGACACTGGAAACCAGGGAAGCCCTCCTCTTCTCCCCAGCCCACTCCTCCCCTCTCTTTGCCTTCAGCCATGTTCTGTGACTTCTACAACCCCCACGGGGAGTGTGACTGGCACTACCAGCCATGTGGAGCACCTTGTCTGAAGACCTGTCGCAACCCGAGTGGGAAATGCTTGGTGAACTTACCTGGGTTAGAAGGTATGCCCAGCCCTGAGAGCTAAGACTTGATCCCCAAAGAGGAAAATGGAAAGCTCAGAACTGGGGACAGCTCCCTGGGGGATGGGCAGGGTGAAAGGCCAGTTTATTCCCACAGTTTCTGATCTACTCTCCGTCGTTCAATCAACAAGCGATTACTAGATGCTTCCTATGCTCCAGGGACTGTGCTAAGTTCTAGGGATACATAGAGAGGCCAAAACAGTTCTTGGACATAAAGCTCTCACATGTTAAAGGGCACAATATGGTACCTGCACATACAATGTAAATGGAAGAAATTCTCAGAGAAGTAGGCTCTAGCAGCTGGGGGGACCAGGAGAGGCCTCCTGCAGAAGGTGGACCTGGAGCCAAGTCTCAAAGGAGGCCAAGGAAGCTAAGAGGTGAAAGGGAGGTGGGAAAACATCCCAGGCCTGGGGGACAGATAGAAAATAGTGTCATGTACAAGGACCAGTAGTCAAGAGGTCAGTGTTACTGGGTCGAAGAGGACACGTTGGGGAGTAAGGTGTAAGAAGACTGGAAAGGTGGGAAGGGAGTGGGTTAGGAAGGGCTTTAAAGACCAAACAGAGCATTTTGTATTTGCTTCTGGAGATTGTTCAGGAATGGGGTGATATGGTCAAGATGGAGGATGGACTAGAGTAGGGAGAGACTTGAGGCAGGCTGGCCCCACAGCAGATATTGCAATAGTCAAGGTGTGAGGTGATGAGGGTCCGAACCAAGATAGGGACAGCATCAGAGGAGAGAAAGGGATATATTGGAGAGATGCTGCAGAGGCGAAATGGACCAGAGATGCTGCAGAGGCAAAATGGACCAGAGGTGCTGCAGAGGTGAAATTGACAGGCCTTGGCATCATCTTGGATGTGGGTGGTGAGAGAGTAAGGAGTCCAGGATGACTCCTAAATTATGAAGAAGATGGTGATACCCTTGACAACATTTCGGAAATTCAGAATGATATGATTTGGGAGTAGGGTGGGGAAGATAATGACTTTTTCTGTAGATATGTTGAGTTTTAGTTGCCTACAGGACAGACAGGTTGAAATGTCTAACTGGCATAGTTGGTGATGAAGGACTAGAGCTCAGAAGAGATATTAGGGCTGGTCTGAGGAAGAGGAGGGGGAGAGGCGGCAGTGGCAGCAGGCTTTTGACCAATTTACATCATTTCTTTCTTTCAAATAACTTGATATGCTTTGTGAAGTAATGACGTGGGTAAAAAAAATAAGTTCTAGTGGCATATAAGGAATAAAGCAGTCACTTACGTATTATTTTTCAAACATTTTTAAAAACTGAAAACATTCTTGAAAAAAAGATGCTAGGGCCGGATATCTCAATCTGGAACTCATCTGTAGAGTGGTTTGCCTAGGCGAGGAGGAGGGCCACCTCTTCATCACAGACTGGAACAAAGGAGAAGATTGTGGGGCCAGATGTCTAAGTGAGGTGAGATCAGGACGACAGGGCAAGGAACTTGAGACCATTTTTGTCTACCAGGTATGAGGCTAGCTCCTCAGATGAGAGGGTAAGGGCAGAGGCTGCCATGGGCCATGGAAGGCTTAAGAAGATAAGACAAGGTCTGGAATGGCCATTTTTGTGAGTCTGCTAGTGACTCAGTTAGAGAGAAATACAATGGTTGCCTTGCAGTGAAGTTAGGGTTAGTCAGTTTGTCAATAAGGGTGTAGGCAGCAGGTGGTGGGAGTGATCCAAGATTGGCAGGGTATGATTGGCGATGTGGGGAAGGGACAAGGATTGAAAAGAGAGGACAGTTTAATTGTTAAGCTGGTTGGCCAAAGAGTCAGGATGGGGAAGGAAGGAGATTTTAGCCAGTGCAGCAGTGCTGGCCTGGGAAAGGTCACAGTGAGGATTCTGGAACTCAGAGCTTTCCAAGGTTCCAAGATCGGGGGTAGAAGGGAGGGGTTCCAAAGTGCAGTCCCCATACAGGCTGCCCTGAAATCTGACTTGCACCCCTAGCATGGGGGCCAACTCCCCCAAACAAAAGACCACCGATTTCTGACACGGCCCTTCCTCCATCATGCCTAACCTCAACTGTGAAGGGATTCCCTCTGATTGGGATCAGAAAACTAGGGATGGCTGGGACCCAACAGTCTTTGAAGTTCCTCCCAACTCTGAGATTCTGAGAATCTATGAATGATACTTCCAAGTTGGTCCCTAGAGACTAGCTATTGAGAGCGCAAGGTCAGATATCATCTGGTTTAAGTCTTTTGGGGAAGGAAACAGGATCTAGGGTGAGGGCTGTGAGAGCCAGCTAGGAGGTTCAGTGGATAGAGCCCTGAACCTGGAGTCAGGAAGATCTGAGTTTCAATCCCTCCTCAGATCCTTACTAGCTATGTGACCTTGGGCAAGTCACTTAACCTCTGTCTGTCTCAGTTCCCTCAATTCTAAAATAGGGCTAATAATGGCTCCTCCCAGTCAAGGTTGTTGGAAAGATCAGATAAGGTGATATCTGAAAAGCACTTAGCACAGTGCCTGGCATACAGTAAATGCCATATAAAAGGCAGCTTTTGTTGTTGTTAGTTTCTGGGTCTGGAGCTAACTTGGCAGTCTTCTGGTCCATTTGGGCATTTCCTCTGCTCAACCCCCACCCCCACCCCAGGCCTCAATGTGCTCAGACCCAAGATCCTTCAGATACAGATGTCGGTCCTGAGGTCCTGACCTTCCAGTTGAATAGATCCTGGAACCTGCCCCAGTGGGAAAGCCAGGGGTGGCCTCTGCTCCTCGTTGGCCGCCAGAAGTCCTGGGGAATCAAACAGGCAGAGTTGACTCTGTGCTTATTGACTGTGTCTTGAAGACTCTTGCTGGCCTATTGACGGAGCCTGGGAGGGACAGCTCTGCCTTATTCCTGACCAATAGGGATTTTTTTTTCTGAAGGGAAGCTGGGGCTTCCCCATCACCTGGCTGAGCTGGCTAATGGCCTTCCTCACCCACGAAGTGCATAGGGCAACTCAAGCTAATTGCCGAGATTAGGAGATGGGTCAGAGCTCTGATAGATCCAAAGTCTAGCCTGAACCATGAAAGGATGAGCAGAAGAGTGATGTCTGGGCTTGGACCTGATCGCTCCTGGCTTTGCCACCAACACTCTGCTGTGTGACTTCGGACAAGCTCCCTTCTGAGCCTCAGTTTCCTAATCTGTAAAACAGAGTGGTTGGGCTGCGTGCTCCCTAAAGAACATAAAGTGACCTCAGCCAGACCCAATCTCAATTGAGGAGAGAATCATGGACGCTCTACCTCTAGCCTGTCCCTGACTGGGAGTCCCGCCTGAATCTCCTGACTGGTGGTCACTGGGTTTTTATTTCAGGACCTCAGGTCAGGGAGGAATCCACCGAATCCCACTTAGGGACAGCTTTCATCGTTGGGGAGTTATTCCCGACATTAAAACTAAATCTCCCTCCCTCCTTGCTCCTGCTTCTGCCTCTTGGGACCAGACAGAATCAACCCTAACCCTCCTCCCCATGACAGTGCTTGAGGAGGGTTCTGCTGCTCCCTCCCCCAACCTTCTCTTCTCATACTAAACATCTCCAGCTTCTTCCAGCAATCCTCCTCCCTTTGGTCATGCAGGGAGAGCACTGTCTGCTCTCTTCCCTCCTCTTCCTTGGGGAGTGGACCCCTCACTGAAGCCTTGTTCCTCTCTGCCCGCCTCAGGCTGCTACCCAAACTGCCCAGCCGAGAAGCCTTTCTTCAGTGAAAGCCAGATGAAGTGTGTTGCACAATGTGGCTGCTACGATGAGGACGGGAGGTATCATGAAGTGGGAGACAAAGTCCTGAGCCAAGCCAACTGCCAGAGCTGGTAGGTCAGAAGGGTAGTTCTGCCCTCAGCTTGGGGAATGAGAAGAGCATTAGCCAACGTCTGCCCCAGACTTTCCAGAAAGGCTCAGTGGAGGAAGTCCGTTCAGTTCAACATGCGTCATTAATCACCTACTGGACACACAGGAACTACACTAACAGGAAAGGTCTCTTGTAGAAGGCAGCACTT